GTGTTGTCAGCAAATTCCTGACGTCATACCCATGGGGGATCTTCGCTGAGCACCCGTTTTTACCTGACATGCTCATTAATCTTGCGCATATACCCCAAGGAACCTACCTTATAAAAACGTTGCCAGGTCATCACGTGACTACATCCAGATTTCTCGAGTTCTTGAAAGTCCGGAGGATTGGGCCAACTGCTAGCTTTAAAGCAATCTGCTACGGCCTAAACACCCCTACTTGCCAGGACCTACATCCTGAACTACGACTACCATCCTTGTATTTTCAACGTCTTCCTGGAGGCCATGCGACCCTGTGGGCTGGGTAGGGTGTTGGAGGATTGATTAACTAGAAGAATAAGAGGACCTCTACCTAGCTAGGAAATGAAATTTCTCCTAAAGACCCATAAGCCCTGCTGCCTCCCCCTGCTGGCCAGGTCGGTTCTTGCGAAGCTGGGCGAAGTCTGCATGGACATCGAGGCCAGACAGCCTGAAACGAATCGGCTCTGCAGACATGTGTCCTATGGAGACCCTAGATAGATTCTCTTGCGCGGTGTGTTCCTGGAAGTTCAATCTATGCCCAATGATCTGTCCCCATCTGCCAAGTTAAATTACATTCTAATTGAGTATAGATGCCTGACTTGCAGGTGACCTATGGCATGGGCTCGGCGAGCCCTTGCGCAAGGCGGGGTGCGTCTCTGGTCATTCACATTCTGTGCGTTATCATGTTGGCTCAGCTTGTCAGCGACTTCCTTGGGTGCTTCATGAACTCAAGCTTGGGCTGTGTGATTTGTGGAGAGGAAATAACAAGTCCTGTCCCCAAAAGAATTTACTATGTATTATGTATCTCTCTAGTATGTTCTGCCATGATTCTTCACCAGCTTTGTGGCCTGTTCAAAACATTACATATAGTTTCGGTACTTTGCAGGGAGCGCCTTCCGGAGTGCTGCCATGAAGAATCCACAGATGCCAGATTCTTCCTTACTTGTTCGTTTGATTCAAGTTGGTGCTCCAAAGGCTCCTTTGTAGCATTTCAAACAAATTGAGCGTTGGCATGTGCCACCTCCCTGCAACTCTGATACTGCTTGCCCAGGTCCTGATTGCAATAACATTGCTTATGTTGTGGTCAACAGATTTCCCTGTGGCCAAACGTCTGGACCTGCTGGACCTCTTCTCCGGGGTAGGGAATGCATCAAAATATTGGTGCCTGGCCTTATCATAACAGTAGCTTGGGTCCTGCTAGACTTGGGCAAATCTTCATGTAGTATCTCAACTAAGGAAATCCCGAGGAAAGAAGGTGGCTACAATTGAGATTAACAAAGGCCAATGCATGGATTTCTTATCCGATGCCGGTTTTGCGCACCTTGGCGAGATGTGTCTCTTACTATGGCTACTTAATTCAGTTCCGGTTGTGGGGTGGTCTTCGCGCAGAATGCTTGTCTAAGGTTAGTTCTGTGGTGTATCTTATGTGAGCATGTGACGGCACTGAATCTTCTTGGACCACAGTGCAGCTCGTGGGGAATTCCAAATCGTGGTACAAGTTTGCGGAGTTTCTTGAACTTCAGAGGATTTGAAGCCCGCCCCTCTGTGGCAACAGCAAACCAGATGATTAGCAGGTGTTCTGGCTGCAGCTGAGTCCTATGCGTCTATGCATTTGCACGGAAGCAGGTTTGTGGGTAGCCTCAGCAGTCTTGACCCCTTGACCGACCCTGCAAATCCTGTAGCTTTTGTCGGGGTCCTTCTAGATTACATAGGTACAGTTGTTTCCCCCAAGACTGTCCCATGAAGTATGCACGGCCACCATATTGATTATGCAGAGTGTTGTGCTTCATAAGTCCATTTCTAAGGGTGGTTTTGACGATTCTTGTCATGACTGCGATGCACACCCTGTGGCTATTGGAGCACCCAGTGGCATCCCTCATCCACAAGCATGAAAGATTCGAATGGTCATGCAACAGTGTGCTCTATGTGCCTCTCCCTCAAGCTGGAACAAGTTTGGAGCATGCTGTGCAATATTATATCATTGAAAGCTTGCAAACGAACATGTCGCTCAGGTGTATTGCCAACCTTTTTGGCTTATGCACTGGGGAGCTTCGTCACCGAAACGAACGAAGATTTTTTCCTGCAGCCCCAAGGTGAAGCTCCTTGACAGGGGTATTTTATCAAAGGTCCAGAAAAAGGCCAAAACAAAGCTTCGTACCACCCGAACTTTAGCTGCAATGTAATCATTTGCTTTTCAGTCCCTGCACCATTTACCAGAAATTGCGGCCCTCTGAGTAGCCCCTGGAATCCCTATGCTTGCCTGCTGCAGGACGTTATCAGAACAGCTCCGGAGCCGATTGCTTCGTGGGAACCAGTGACCTCAAGGAAGCTGGGTTGCTTGGCGCGGCAGTAATCCATGAGATGCTCTTCATTACATGTCTAGTAGGTTGGACTGTTTCCTTGGTGTTGTGCTTGTTGCTAGTACTCTCACTAGCTTCCCCAATACCTGGACGCGCCAATGAAACCTATAAACAGCTATAATCATATTATGTCAATAGGCGAGTTGTTGTTGACAAATGGGTCAGTTTGACATGTCCTGGTAGTGAGTCTTCCGAAAGCTGTACTTTGCAACCTGGGTTACACACTTCTACCTGCGGGGGTTAAGGCCATCTTAGAGAAGCTCAGCCAAGGGTGTACCCAATGCGCTTTGTGCGGCAGATCTTCGAGGTTTTTACCAATGAGACTGATCATGTCAAGAAGAATATTCTGCGCAACAAGAATGTCACAGACCCTGCAATGACAGATGTGGAGCTCTTCCAAAACATGGCATTGGGCGACACCTGGGATGATGCCTCGATAGTGTCTGTGTATTTCTACTTGAGGCGGAACAAACATCTAGTCATCCCAGCCTGTTGGGAAGTCCCCATTCATGAGTTCGATAAAGAGCTTGATGCCAAGGCTTCTAGGCTTGGTTTGGCTATGGGTTTCAGTCAAAGGTTTTTTATTTCTTCCTAACCTTTGTGATTGAAAGCCCATATACCTTCTTGAGTAACCTGTGCCACCAAGAGCATATAAGGTCAACTGCCACGCGGAGCTCAGACAGGAGTACAATTCTCTGGTCTTGAGGCAGAGAGCATCTGAGTAGCAGCCTAGCAGACCAATAGGCTGACACCTTGGCCACCAAGTCCCGGGCATGATGCCATGGATGTTTACGCGAGGGGCACACCTGTAGGCAGGCCAAGGTTTTGGCAGGAAACCATGTGGCAGGGAAGCCAAGTAGAATAAACTGGTACCAACAATCTGTCACGTGCACTTTTTTAGGATCCCGAACCTTTTTTAGTTTTCTGCAGTAGGGCCCAAGACACGGAGACCGCAACTTTCGCGCAATTTTCCGCAACTCTCGCGCAATTTCCCGCAACTCTCGCGCAATTTCAAAATCCGTATGTTTAGGGTTTTGTCACGCGCACTTTTCCGAAGTCACGCGCGTTTTTTGAATCTGCAGCGGTCTGGTTAGACGAGCTTCCCTGCGGCTGCTTGGATAGACAGCTGGTGAAAGCAGAGTTGCTGCAACCGCCATGTGTTCCCAAAATGGAGCCCAGAGCGCATCAAAGCTGATTGTGCCTCAGGTCATATGCTTGCTGCGTTGCTCCATGAATTGTATTCAGGCTACATGCGCTAGCTTTTTTGGGACAATGGCTTCGCTAGCTACCCTGCACGACGGCCTTGCTATGGTAGCCCAATCTTGGTCTGACATGTCGGCCGCGGAAGCAGATGATGATGAGAATCTTGATGCTGCGATTCTGGTGCTTTATCTGCAAGGGTGTGCTAGAAATCCTTTAGTTGCCCACGTGTTCATGCTCCTATTTCACAAAGTCTGACTAAACCTGCTTGTGGATAAGGCAGCGCAGGCCAACATTGCAAACCTTCAGAAGGAGCTAGCAGGCACGAGTGCAGAGCCTGTGCCGAGCATGATGCCAGGCCAGCCCCGTGCCAGGGTTCCTCTTCCCAACTTTTTGTTTTTAAGCCCTGTGGAAAAACTTGCATGGCTCCCTGAGAGTTTCCCAAAATAATGTGTATATACGTAAACCATATATGGGGTTGGGGAGGTTCTGTTCTCACTTGGTGCTTATCTCTTGCAGGTGCCCCTGCCATTGCAACAAGCAGTGGTGAGCACGTGGCCGGGAATGCCAGGCGTAGCCTGAAAGATCTCGGGCAGCGCCCGCAGCGTTCAGAAACACTGGATATGCTTGAGCAGTCGTCCAAAAATGGAGATGGGGGTGAGGATGATGATGACCTTGAGTATGTAGGTGCGTGCACACCAACCGCTCTTGAGAAGACCCCCGGCAGGCTTTCCAGTGTTGCCCCCACGCCCAAGGCCGCTCCCATAGAGGTTGCAGACAGCCCCAAGCCGATTGCTGCCACGCCCAGAAGCCGAACGCCCCGAACTTCCAAAACCAGCCCCAGCCCTCAGAATGTCAAGAGGCAATTGTTTGGGCCCATGCAGAAGCCTCTGCAAAAGAAGCCAGTGGCTGCCCCAAAGCCCGAGGGTTACTGGAGGTTACCTGCTTAGCTCACACCTGCTTGCGCGTTCTGAAGTCTGAGTTTTAGTCTAAAAGTTGGCAACATCGCATCCAAGGGTGCGGCGGTTCTTTACTCCAAACGCCAAAGGCGAATTGAAGTGCAGCCCCAGGGTTATGGACATGGGCAAAACGAATGATGGGCGAGTCTAGGCAGCGTTAGATAGATGGGTAATTCCAGGATACATTTGGGCCCCAATTTAAAAATATGTGAACGTACCTAGTGACCTGTTTATGGCCTGTGCCCGCCTCATCCTACACTCCTGGAAAATGAATAGCCCACTGGCCCCAAACTAATTCTAGCCCAGAACCTACACACATTTGATGTAATATACTTCATTAGACAACATTAATAGAAATAAATCAGGAGAGAAGTTGCGCAAGCTTCTTCTTGAACACGGCTCTTTCGAGAAAGTTGAGGGGGTGCTTGAGCGCTGGCACGAGCAGAAGAAAATGACCAAGGAAGGTGGTGGATATGTTACCAAGGAGCGATTGATGAAGGAGAGGCACTACACAAGGTTTCTGAGCAGCAACAAACCTATGACCCTTTCAAACCCAGTCTGAATCACCCCCAGTAGTTGCCTGGTAATCTGCGCAAGGTCCATGGCCGACCACGCCTTCGAGTGGGCCAGGCCACAAGGGTTGGTCAGGACATCAAAGGTGCATGGAGCTGAGGAGGCTGATATTCCTCTGGACTTTGAATGGACGAAGACGCATGAGACCGGGAGCAGAATTGGGTTTTCGAGCTCCTTCAGCATGGATGAGCTTTTGCTACATTTACATGTACCATGACTTTGGAACCTCTGTTGTTTTACTCCTGGCTGTTGCTTCTGCTATGGACATGTCAGGACCCCAACTGCGCGCTATTGGATTCTCAGAATGAGGATATCTTCGATCCACATGGCGGGGACGAGGGACGTGCCAACGATGCCCAGGCTGCTGCGCAAGCTGGAGCGTCTTTCAAGATGCTTGGATTACTAGCTGATTGCAGTTATTCGCTGCTGGCTTACCCCACACAAGTCTGTAGTCTGTAGAACCTTTATGCCCGTTGTCCAAGGCTATGCTTTCCTTCCCTGCAGCAGAATACATCCCCGCTCTCGCTGCTACCGAATTACCTCGCTGTGTTGGGGAAGAAGATCGATTGTGCGGAAGCTACCCAGGAGAAGTCTCATAATGTTGCACACATGTACCAGTGATTGTAGGAGCCCCCTAATGCTTCAGGATTCGTGTTCATTTAGTTTCTACGGGGATGGTGCGTTGTTCTCTTGGTTCTTTATTCATCTTAGATAGTCGGTCATCACATGGGGGTACCTGGAATGAGTATGGGTCTGATGCACTTTGTTTCCTGGTCGCGTGAGGAGAAACTCACAAAGTCTCGGGGTGGGAATCAGCCATCTTCGAAGGCTGTGGAGCACCTTGCCCCACTTTATGATGCCATAATTTTCTCAAAGCATGACGGCACATGTGGTATGTGGTCTTGAATTTATAAATGGCATTTTTTAATCTCTCCAAGGCTTGGGAAAAATGTGGGTGACTGCTTGATGGAGATGAATGCCCACTACAAGCAGCTGGTGCAGCTGCAGGCCTCTGCTGCCACTGCTTCCAGCGACGAATCCATCCAGAGGCAGGACGGTGTATCCTGCAGCCATAAGCTTTCAAAGATCTCCCCCAACAATAGTTGTATATGTTTCTGCGTTGTTGCTCTTGCGCGAGGCTGAAGAAGGAAGCCCTCAACGTCTACATTAATTGCACTAAGTCGGACCTAGCCCTCAACAACTTTGTGGTTCGCGCCAAGTCTCTCTGCTATGATTCAATGTTTCTCAATTTCCAATCCATCTACTTACCAAGTGCGAATGTGACCATCTAAGGAGTGTCAGCAAGGCTGGAGGAGCCCCGGCTGCCACGGCTGCAAAGCCTAAAGGTAAGGCAAAGGCGAAGGGAAAGGCGAAAGCGTCCCCTAAATCTGCCCTGAAACGAGGGGGGAAGCCCAGAAAGAGTCGTGCTGACTCGTGATGATGTCGGTGGATGATTTGATTCATTCATGCTAGGTGCTAGGAAAATTAGCTCGTATGTGCGTTGTCTTGACAGCGTGGAAGCTCCGATTGCGAAACCTGTGTGGGCAGTGCGTGTGAAAAAAGCCACAGTCGCCTTTGCTCATGTTTCTGCGCTCATGTTTCTGCGCTACTTGCTCCGCAATCACACGAACAGGAATGCTACCTTAAAGTCACCTTGTTCTTGCAGGTCATGATGTAGAATGTTTCGATGCCAGTGGGGACCTTACCTATTCCGTTCTGGAAGTCTACCAAGCTCCCACTGCTCAGCCCAGTGAAGCCCTCCCCCTTCCAACCGTAGTTCGCCCAGGTCCTGATGATGATGGCGAATCATCCGATGGATTGGTTGATGAGCTCCTTGCCGGGTTGTCATCTGGGGCCCCTTTACTTTTGAATTGGGAATGCTTCTTAATTATGTTGAAAGGGTTACTTTCGGTTATTCTTAACCATGTACTTGGGGTTGTTTCAAGGTGCAATTCGGCGTCCGCCCAATATATGCGCCCACTAAAGGCTGATTCTAGATACCCACAACATACTTATGCTTCAGGATTTGGGGAGGAAGGAATCAAGTTGCAGGGTCATTGTAATTATAAGGGTTGGACCTCTCCCCCAAATCATGTACAGTCATAGTGTTAGGGGACTTCTGTCTGACTATTGAAGGCTGGTAACTAAGGGCTTGTGCTGCTAAGAATGTTTTTTGAAAACCCATGCAATTT